CTAACTTTTTAATTTGTCTATTAGTCTGAATTTGTACCTGTTCGTACTGAAAATAATGGTGTAAAATCGGAGTCCTTAACAACCAACTATCAGACATCAGATATTTCATAATATTTATTTTTATACTCTTTCCAATTTATTATTGTAAATGAACAATGTATTTAGAATACGTTTCCATGGCGCGTCGAATAAAAATTTAAGTTCTTTTTATATTATTAATGAAAGATCTATTAATTTTAGAATATCTACTAGTCCAGTCATTATAGTAAGTTCACCCAGCTGTAAGTCTGTAAATTCTTGTATATTGACACTAAAGTTATCTCAAAACCTACATATGGTATTAACACCCTACTATATGTAGGTTTTGAGACAACTTAAGGGTGTCAACATACAAGTATTTACAGACTTACAGCTGAGTATCTCGAATTCCGAGATTCTTACCTAATTTAAGCTTAAATGACTGGACTATACACCATGTACTTGTTAAGGCATATTTCTATTCTATTCTATTTATAGTTATGATTGTAAGAGAATAGATTTAATTAGGTTGTTCAAAAATCAATGAATACTTTATTCATTATTAATGAAGATGATTTAAAACCAAAGGCAGTAAGATATTGCACTGAAAAAGTTAACTGTTGCTTTGCAATTTAATTGTTTCATTTGTTACACTTACTATAAGAGTAATAAATATTTGTTTTATACTTTCATGTTATCTTTATTTTTGTGCCTAAGAAATATAAGATATTTGTTACTATTATGAATTATTTAATTTTAATAATATTAATGATATAATATATATAATTAAATAATATTCAATCAATTTTATATTATAAATATATATCAATAACATTATAAATATATATAAATAATATATCTTTCCTGAATCGAGTTGGAGTTTAACTCAGCTCACCCACTATTAATATTATAATATTATATATAAGTTAAATCTATTCTTTGAGTAAGAGCTGTTCATATTCAAACCTTTAAATTATATCGAAATTAACAGTCAAATTGGTTAATTTTTACTTGCGATTCAGTTTAAAATAAAATATAAGCAATTCAGTCCACTACAATGGTTATCTATGATATTTTATGTTTTAAGTTTTTAAAACATTCAAACATATATATATATATATATATATATATATATATATATATATATAATTGTTATATTTATTATACATTTTTGCAATAGAAAAAAAATCATAACTATAGACAGCAACCCATGGAAATGTATCTTTCGAAACATTACGTGTACAAAATCATTCTAAAATCCAAGAAACAAAATCCATATTAACATGTTAATTGCCATCTCAGACATATATGTCTGACATACGCAATTTGGTAGAAGGAAGAATGAAGTTTTAACATAGGGCCATGTCAGTCATATATGTATAACATAAAAAATAGTGTTTTTGCAGGAATTTCTGCAAAATAATTGTTTTCTTTTAATACATTAAGCTTCCTTGAGACAAATTTAACTAAATTATCTAATAAAGTTACCATGGGCTATGTGAAAATTTATCTCACATTATCATGGCGATTAACGTGTTAATTTATATTTATTTAGCCGCAAAACTAAACCCCATCAACTGCTCGCCATGAAAATGGCCCTTATATGTAATAAAGATTTTTGCATGCCAAAAATAGATAATCCGACATGATCAAATAGATATATAATATAAAATTATTGTTATTAAGTGATAAACTCTATTATAATTTATTAAAAATATATACTGCCTTATTGCACAATGCGATGAGTGTTAAATGATTGTGGATTTTTATTTAAAGTTAGGAAAATATCTCAAATGATAAATAACACACAGTTTGCATTTTACAGGGCATTGGAGGTATTTAAAAAATGAAGTAACTAGTGGTGTATGGTATCGTGCCTTAAGGCAAATTGCTGGAACTTCCTGTACCGTAACAAAATGTTCGAGGAATATTAAATGTTTTCAAATAGATTATTATGAATACTGTAACATTGTCTAATATATATAATAAGAATTATATAAACTGATTTGCAAAGTTGAAATTATTTATTTGAAGTATATTAAAACTTTAGTCAGAATTAAATTAAAATCTGAATTATTTTCGACATACAAAAAAAAAAAAAAATTGAAACAAGATTTTTTTTCCAAAATCAATTATTTTGTTAAAAAAAGCAGAAAGTTCTTTGAATCAATCAAATCGGACGCTTAGTTCTTGAAGAACTGCAATTTTTTGCACACTTAGCTCTGTATCTTCGAAATGACTGGACCTGCCTTTGCCAAAAACCAATCACCTCTTCTCCCAATCATTACAAATTGAATGTTTTTTAGACCATTCAAATCGGATGCTCTATTCTCTCAAAAACTCGATTTATATTTTCTGCACTCTTTGCTCTGTATCTCCGTAACGGATGGACCTACCTTTGCCAAAAACTAATCAGCACATCTCCCTATCAATAGAAATCGAATGTTTTTTGAATCATTCAAATCGGTTGATCCGTGCGCCCGAAAACGTGGACGAAAAATTGTCTCCACACATACTCACACATCAATTTTTTCTGAGATATGCCAAAATGTTCAAAAACCTCTGAAACGTGAAGATATGCAAAAATTTTCATTTTCGATTTTCGGCCCATTACTATAATTACCCTAGAGGACGTTAAATAACATTATTGTGTAATTAAAAAAAATGTCAAAGATTAATTAAATACATGTGTCCCATAACTGTCAAAAGAGCAAAGTGACAATCAGTGACAAGTGTTGCATCAATTAAGAATATTATAATTTTTGTTATATAATTTTGCGTACATAGAACTAATAACAAGTAGGTAATGATTCAACAATATTAATTATGATATAGTATAATATCTTACCTTTATCCATTATCACATAAAAACACCTGATTTGCACTTTCACAAAATGAAAAGACCAAAATAAATACTTGACCTTTGCCCCACAGAATCAAAACTTGCACTGACCAGAACGAATGCATTCAAGACACTGTGACAACTTACAGGAATAAAGATTGCAAAACCGCGAATTTTAAAATTATTATTTTATTAACTTCCCGTAGGGTAAGTTATAGTAATCGCAAAAAATAGAAAATAAAAATTTTTATATATCTTTACACTTCAAAGGTTTCTGAACATTTTGGCATACCTTACAAGTTACTTT